TATGTATCCGCTTTATCCATTGAACCGGGTCTAGTATAATATCCTATATCAGTTTGGTTTTGTGAAAATCGATATTGTGCTTGTGTTGCTTGGAGGAAAAGATTGAATCTTTAGATCGTGAATGTTTGACTAAGTGTGATTAGGAGTTGAATACTTGCTCGTTTTGTGCTAGAGCTTGGTTTAGCTTCCTAGGGTTTTAGATAGCATGGCAATGTTCGGTTATTTGCGTGTGATTGATCATGGAGACTCCGGCAAGCCAAAATCTCTCTTTCCCCCTTGATTTCTCTCATCTTTTTGCGTGCTTAGTTAATTGCTTTCAATTGCTCTCGTTTCGTAGATTAATCTAGTTTTAATTCAAACCCCCAATTTGCGATTAGAATATTTAGTACCTTTTCGGTTGTGTGATTTTGACGACTACATAGTGGACGAAGCTCCGAAGAGCCTTCCTTTGAGAACGACCATAGTCGGGTAGCTCGGTTACCACATGCCCAAAAATTTACTCAACAAAATGGCGCCGTTACCGGGGAAGGCAAGTAGGACGCCAAGTTTGCTATCTAGTTGTCGTTTGTTTCCGTGTTTCTCTTCCGTTTTGTGCTCTTTGCTCGTTTTTGCGTGTTTCTCTTGATTATTTGCTTATTTACCATTTCTCTTGCTTTTACTTTCGTGCCCGTGTAAATATTATGTGTTTTTAGTTTCGCTTTTTGTTATTCTCTTTCTTGCCTCGTGTGCCTTGGGTTGTTTTCTTGTTCTTGTGCGAGGTATTACGCTTGAGGAGCCCGGATAGATCCCTATTCTCACTATTACGCTGGGAGCTCATTTCGTGGATACCCCGACAATTCTCAAGGGGAGATGAACTCATTTGGCCCGAGCCACCCTTATTCTACACCCCAATGAAATTATTATGATCACTATCCGGCTTATGACGAGACGCCTCTCTACTATCTTCCATCTCCCGGTTCTTATGATGTTATCCTCCACCCGAGCCGACTCGGGCCCCTCCAACCGAATTAAAAAAGATCGTGGCAAAGTTGGAGGAGGACGCTCAATCCCTTCGTGCTTCATTAGCCTCCCTCTCCGAAAAAGACGAAGCCGAGTCCTTCACCCTTCCCTCTCTGGTATTTGAGCACTCATCGGTTGGCCAACCTCGTTCATCTATTCTTGGAGCTTCATTTCATTCCGAGGTTGGGCCGATCGATTGTCACCAAGAAGTTTTGGCAAGAACTCAAGACGCACTCGCGAGCCTCGCGTCGATCATCGAGGAATTCAATAGTTGGAGGTGCATCCCGATTCCATCCACTCTCCGTGCTACACTTGAGAAGTTCGACTCCACCGTGGTGTCTTTTCTCAACTTGGATTCATCTTCTATTCCGCTCGGTAGATATTCTACTCTATCGGCGAAGATTA